TAATTAACCCGTTTAGGATAGCCGCCTAAGGAATATAGACTGATATGATAGGTCTCATTCATAATTGTATGTGCTTGCATCTGACCCTGCTCTTATTTTTACACATAAAGGCAAGACTCTTTGTACGACTAACAGTGACATCACAACTAAGGAGACCATGGCACATGCATAAACTTGTTTGCAATTTAAATTTCGTAGACTATACGTTAATATAGGGTAGCATGCGTTATAGAACATATAAGATATTTTTACTTTATGCTATTTCAATTTTTACCTATTTTATTTAAAGACCTTCTAGGAAACATATGTTCATTGCTATGAATTATGACAAAGTTTTAAATGAATATTTTCGCATAAAATGCCTATGATATATATACCGTAGCAACGACTTTAAGTTGAGTAGAAATCTAGAGTCATAATTTTTTACATAATTATGCAATGAATTATGTTAATTTTAGTTAACGAAAATATTATAATATAAGTAAATTAATTAAAATATAGTTATAATATACGTCAAAGTATTTTAATATTAATAAGAACATTGTTGACCTAAGTCAACATTAAAAGAGAGAAATATATTATTATGCCATCATTTATTTTAAAATGTGTTAATGTTCGATGATTTGAAATAACACGATATTAAAGAAGCTAGAGACTAAGAGATATATATATATCTTTTGGTTTGTATGTCACTAATTATTGTTTTTTGTTTCGTTTGTTGTCACATCTAAATCATCACTTGTGGGTTTAAATCAATACCTTATGTCAATATTTAAGTAACAAATTAAGATGGTTGGAATTAATTAAAATAATCTAAGAGAGCAAGTACGCACAACTATCAAAAACTCATCAAATAATTGTAAAATTTATATGTAAGTCTTAAGATTAAATAACCAGGTTGGTTTGTCTTTATCAAATAAAATCTTATATTTCAAAATGTTCGTACCAGATTCATAAATCCAATGGTCAACAATTTTAATATATAATTTTTTTAACTTTTAAATTTTGAAAAAAATAAAAGTTTTCTATATCAATTCTTCCGTTAAAATTGGAAGATATTTTTCTAAACATTAAATTAAAAGTTTCTATAAATGTGTAATAGCCCAAAACAAAAATAAATAAATAAAAAAAAAATTAAGTTAAAATAAATAAACAAAAAAGAGAAACTCTTCCCCATTTCTCTCCACTAATCTCCCGTCTCTCCCTTCAATTATCTCTCCTCAACCCATCCGCCAGAAAGTCACAGTGCAAAAAGAAACAATAAAAACAACCACGGTCCGATTTAGGAAAAAGATGAAAATGACCTCACCTAGTTGAGATTCATCTGTGGATGGAGATTTACTTGAAAATAGATTTGATCATGTATATATTAAATCTTCATTTTTCCTATCTTATTTTTTTTTTTTAGAAATTTTTTTTTTTTAGAAATCACTGCCATTACTTGAAAATAGATCTTCAATAAATTATTATATAAGTAATTCTAGTAAATCATATAAGATCAGTAATATTAGATCAAAATTATATCAAGGAGATAAGGAAAGATTTGAAAATAATGATCTACTCGAAATTTGGAATACATGTGAACAAAATTAAAAGGCAACCGATAGAGAAAAAAAAAGATTCAAGAATTAAAAAAAAAACTTAAATTAAATATAGAGAGAAAAGTAAATACAAAGGGGTAGGAAAGCACAAAATAACTTGAAATAACTCTATCAACTTTTTTTATACCATAGTAACCATAGAAAATAAGATTTTTAATAAAAATCTAATTATAAATATATAATATTTCGACTTTTAACCATGGACCCATCTAAATTAGAGAAATAATTTTATAAAGTTCAAACTTGAAACTGATGTCATGGGCTCACATAGGTTGACTTGGGTTTCAAGGGACAGAATTGAACTTTCATTAAAGATATATTCGTGACAACAACTTAAGCTAACCAAGTAAGTGACCTTACTACTGACATGGTTATATTTGATGTTGATACGTGCCTGTGGTTCTGCACGTATCATACATACTGATATGTATGAATTATCTTGAATCGACATGCTTATATTATGCTTATGTTATGTTATAATTGTGAATTGTATGATAATATGTGTGATGTGTTCAATGATATGTTTGAGATTGATACGAGAAGGATGCACTAAACGTAATGTAACAATAGAAGTAAGATGTGTTCAAGAAACGTTAAGGTTAGGTTACATCTCGAAGTGAATATGGTTAGAATATGGGTAGAAAGGGACGAGATTATGATAAATTGATAGAACGATAGCGTTAGGGTACGTTCATGTAACGATATGACTATGATAGGTATAAGAATCTTAAGGCTGTGATAAGTTAAGGAACGATAAGACCACAAAGTGTTTACAAGATGATATGATTATGATACGATATGTGAATGATGAATGTATATATTTTGTGATATGATATGAAAACGATATGAAATATGTTATAGTACGAGATATGTGATAAATTGACATGTTTATGATATGATATATTGTGATGCGATATGTTATGAGATGATATGTATATGATGAAAATAATTATGTCTGGAAGTAAGGAATGTTATGATATGATACACTTATGTAATTTGAATGATATGATATGATTGACATGCAAAACGACGAACTAGCATGAAATACAACCCCAGCATATGCATGAAAGATATGATAAGTAATATGAAAAATGATATGAGATGTACGGAACGCTAGCGGGGTTGTATTAAATGATAATGAAAATGAAAAATGTTAGGACTTCATGCATTATTGTGTGCTCATGCATTGGGGGATACCCCTTACCCTTCACGATAGTATAAACACGTACCTTATGAGGCAGGGGTACGATCATTATGTTTATCATAATGCTACGACAGTCAGGCAGGGGTACGATCATTATGGTTAACCTAATGCTACCATCACGGTTACAAATTCTAACGGGTGTCTGGCCTAAAAAGCTCCCAGAGTATGCTCGCTTGACAAGGAAGGTGGCCCAGCGGTGTGCGAACTGATTGGTGAGTCCATACTCGCACGTATGGACTGTGTGTAGAGTATATAGTACACATCCAAATTACTCGTTAGGACAGTATCATAGGAAATTGGATTTAAATGATAGGTCCCGTCATTATATTCGTATGTTCTAGCATTTAACCCCAATAGTGGAGTCACTTACTAAGTATTTCTTTAAATACTCAAGCCATGTGCTCCTACATTTTTCAGGTTAAGGCAAAGCATTCTTGTATGGCTGACGACGACGACAACATCGCAACTTGAGACCATGGCACATGCATAGGATAGCGATATTTATTTTCTTAGACTTTGGTTAAAATAAAATGTTTTTAATTATTTAATTTATTTTATTTAACCTTTTGTTCTGGCATTTTAAAGTTATTTTGAAACACGTAAGTCTATAAGTCTATAGTTGATAAATGTTACGTTTTATAGAATTTAAATGAAGTATTTCCGCCTTCATATGTATACTTAAAATTTTGGGTTCGTTACAAAAATTTAAGTTTTCTATGACATTGTTAGGCCCAATAGTTAAGTAATGGGCCTTGTGACTTATTGGAGGCCCATTTATATTACAAAAACATTATTGCGATGGATTCTATCATTCTAACGGTTTAATTTCTAAGGTCCCTCACGTAGTCTGTTATTTTTTGTTTTAAAAAATTAAGTTTTTTTTTTTTTTTTTTTT